AATTTCACTCGTGAAAGAAATAAATGTAGTTAAGAATAAATGTTCCACAGAACTATCTCTTAAATACCTTTATTTTATGTAGATTATTTCCTTTCTATTTTCATTTACGTTGCTTTCTTTACGATTATATTCCTTATTTTTATAACACCCTCAGAGATAGCGGTCTAGTGAATTTATATATTTATTAATAAATACTGCATTAGAGGCGTGTATTCTAAATAATCGGTGAATAGTTCCTTTCATGTGCACCACAGATTAATAGATGTGCTATATTTTTCACCGAATTGCGTTTATGTCTACGTAAAACATCGAGGCGTGATTTATTTTTGAAATACATTCATTTTAGTCATATGATTTTACGCTAAATTAAAGACGCAATGCAAATAAATGTCTTTGAACATAATAAGATTATACAAAATTCATAATAAAAAAAACTTGTTGATTTTAATTATGTTATTTCGTAAAATACGTACTCTTTCAATTTCATTTGTTTTATTTTACTTGCATTTATCTTATATTTTATATTAAAAATCAGAAATTGATCTTTGCGGTTATTTTAAAAATACAATGATTAATGCTTACGATGTTTACGTTAATGTTAGAAAATAAATGTAATTAAATTTTATTATTATTTATATGTCGTATTATATAACCTATTGTTGAAGAAATGTGTAAGAAATTTTAAAAATGTATGTAACATAAATAGATTTTATTTATTTGAAAAACACGTACAATATCGTTTATTTATTTTCGTTTTAGATCTCCGTTTTTATCGGTTTAGTTACATAATGAATAATTGAAATAAAATAAAATTAATTTAAATAAGATTTGTTGTGTACTCTAATTGTACCTCTTTCACTTAATGAAATATAATAAAATGTAATAAGAATAAATGAAATGGTTGTGCAGTTTTTTTAAAAAGACTCATTTTATTCCTTATTATTACCGATGTTTCATATAATGCTTAATATTATCATTAAAATTATATATATCCCATCCACATAGTGAATGAATAATATTTTTTTCTAGAAATATAATATCTGTCAAGCTGTTCCAAATTTTACAGAGTATTATTGAAAATATTAATGTACAATACTTTTTATAAACATTTGTAATAAAACCCTAGTGAAATAGCTAAAAGAAACCACATTTTTTATTTTATATTTATATTCAAATCTTCTTCAATTCGTAACTTACTGAACGTATCTCAATTTTAATTTTAATTTTATGTATAAATAATTAATGTACTATGAAACTATACTCAACAAGCACAAGTAAATCAAGTAATTGTAAAATGTGGCTAATATTCCGGGTAATAAAGAGTTCAATGAAAAATAAAGAATAAAACAAGAATTACCGAAGGTAACTTAAAATCATAGGTCCAGGAAATGAAATATAATCTATTGTTCATTTGCGATCACATTTTACGAAGGTCTAGAACAAACACACTGCCATCAGACGCAGAAGCACCGACTTTGTCTCCTCGACTATTCCAACATACTTCAAAAATTCCTCCAGTTCCTTGATAACTATGTACCAATTGACCATTCTGCACAATTAAATATATAAGAAAATATATATAATATGAACCTTCTATTAAATATACCAAACAAAAGAAGAATAGCTATCTTACCTGCGTAGACCATATATGAACACATTTGTCAAAACTTCCACTAGCAAGAAATTTGCCATCTGGACTAAATGCTACGCTATACACTGGCTCTGTGTGTTTCGTAAGTCTGTGTATACATGCACCTCTTTCTACATCCCATAACCTTACAGTAGAATCGAATGATGCACTAGCTAAAGTTAGATTCATATTTGGATTGTGAGTTCCAGGCCCAGTTGGGGACCATTTAATAGTATATATTTCTTTGCTATGAGCTTGTAAATCATGTACCCACGTATCTTGTTTCATAGACCAAATTTTAAGACTCATATCATCTGAACAACTAGCCAATAAGTTACCTTGAGGGTCCCATTTTATAGCATTAACTTCATTCTACAATTAAAGGAAAAACAAACTCTTTAAATTGAATCAAATTGAATTAATTGAATTAAATTGAATCAAAGAATATAATTATTTCTGTATACATACTGTATGACCTTGGAAGCTCTTAATTGGTTTGTCAACATTAAGTTTGCATACGTGTATGCATTGGTCAGTAGAACAACTAGCAAATGATGTATTTGTTTGCCAATCAACATCCAAGGCAGGTGCACAATGAAAGCTAAATTGTTGAGTACATTGCCCACTTTCTGCATCCCATATAATTGTTGTTTTGTCAACTCCAGCACTTAATATGTAGTTACCACGTTTATTCCATTTTAATGCAAAGATTGGACCTTTGTGTTGACCTAATGTGGATGCTAATTTACCATCTGTCTTCCAAATTCGTGCATAACCATCATAACTTCCTGTTGCTAATAAGGTACCATCACACTAAAATAAGTAACCAAATTATATTAGTTTCCTTTTTTCAACGTTGTAACTTAAGAGAAATAATCATTTTACCTTCCAATCTAATGAAGTAACATCTTTGTTGCTTGGCACTTCGGTACCACCTTTTTGTATGCAGTGACGAAGAACAAGCTGATTTGGAGCTTGTGAACTACCAGACATATCCCAAATACGAGCTGTGCTATCTCCTGAACCAGAAGCCAAAAGATCAGTTGTTGGATTCCATGCACATATGAAAACTTCCGATTCATGACCACGTAATATTGTAGCTTTAGTGTCTGGAATTTCAACAGCGCTAGCATTAGTTCCCCTGCTTGAACCTTGTTGTTGTTCATCTACTTCCATTTCTGTCCTATCTCCTCCTCTCTCATTTGTGCCTACACCTTCATTGGAGGTAACAACTGAAAACAGGTTAGTAAATTAATAACAATTACCAAATGGAAAGTTTTCTCTCCTTCTTGTATTTATATACGTAATCTGAAATAAAGAAATTCTGTTTTCAAAAAATAATATGTTAATATTAAATAACAAACTCTTTCATTACCTTCATATTATTTTATAGAATTAAAATATTATTTTATACTTGTGTTATACAATTAAATTAATAAAAACTGATCTCTTTTTAAAACTACAGTCTGTATAAACTTTAACAATATTCTTATTCTTATTCTTTATATGATATTACAGTATATATATAAAGTAATTTGTAAATAGTAAACCTTTGTAATTCTTGTCCTTATTCTTCATTCCAGATCACACATATATTAATAATATTGTTTGCTCCTAGCTTTCCGACATGTTATAAATGTAACAGTGAGCGTTATTTTGCTATATCAGTACATAATTTAACATTACAAAACAAATTTTTTAATTTATTAGTACAGTATAATAAATATATTTTACTTTAATATTCTATGACTGTTATAACAAAAATATTTGCTCATAACAAGTCCGACAGCTAAAGCAGTCCATTAATGTACCTGGTATAATAAGGAGGTCTATAAAACTTAAGTCTAGTCTTAGACCAGGGTGTGCCAGGATAACAATTTTTGGTTTCAAAATATAACACATAAAATATAACATGAATAAAAATTAATATAATAAGTCAAATTACCTTCCTCTCCATTTGTATCTTGTACTTCTGTCTTCACCTGTTGTTTTTGCTGATTAATTTGATTTTGTCTTGATGCCACAACATCTGGCATAACAGCATCAATAAGAGATAAGGATTCCACCATTCTTTGTTCAGTACCATCTTCGCCTATTGATATTTCTGCTTCTGTGTACTGTAACCCTTTCTGTAGAATTGATAAAAGTGCTGCTGGTGGTACTAATGCTCCATTTATGTTACTCTGTGATATATGTGATTCTATGCCAAATGTGTATGCGGAGTGTTGAAATCCTATAAAAAAAAACCACACAGAGATTAATTTGCATCTTTTATATAATCTACAGTACAACTTTTATACAATAAACTTAAGAAATAACTTAGTAATCAACGTCATGGATATGCTTTTATTTGTGCTCAAATAACCTCTCTAAATCACGTTTGATCTATAATTTGTAATATATTATTGACCAATATGATATTATTAATTGCAAATATTATTGTGAAATGTATATATACATAATATAAGTAACAAATGTGTACAAACAATAGCAAATTCAAAATTTTCCAAAATTATTTGAAAAGAGGTTACGTAGTACTCCAAAAAATATACCAGATTCTTGAAGGTATCGGTAAACCAAGAAATTGACTTCATCGCTAGAGAAGCTCATCGTTCTTTACTTTCAAGATACTAGCACAACATATTTATTGAAAGTTGCGCCTAAAAATCACTTTGACTCACGTCGGACGCCGAGATTGCCGCGTCGAAGCCACTCTACAAGTCACAGACACATTACACATGAGACCTCACCATTGGCCAAAAAATACGAACAACAGTGTGTTCTATAGAGATACGTAACTAACTTCAATGTAATCTCTTCATTTAAAGTAACGAGACGATACTTCGAACGAGATCAATTAGATTTCATGTATTATTGTCAAATGGATTATGTAAAAAATATACAGTGGCTCATGGAAGTATTTTTTATGAGCATATTACGTATGTTATACGAAATATCTCGAAATTCCAGTAGTAGTGTAATGATAACTTACTATCGTGATTATATTAATAAAATTTGAAACGATCCTGAAAACATACAAAAATAGCAAGTTATTTAGTATAAGTATATGTTTTGTAGAGATCAAAGAGATGTTTATTAAATATTCATCAATTTATCAATATTTCATTTATAAATTTATAAATTTCATAAATTTATCAGTCATTCATAATATGTAATTCGATTCATTCATAACATATAATTCATAACATTCATAATATATATAATATTATCTTTAATATTTATTATACATATATATGTGATTATTCTATACGTTTATCTGAATATATATTTTGAAATCTTTTAATAGTTCTAAACTAAGCGAGTTATACAATTCTATGTTATTAAAATAGGAATAATTACATAATTTAAATTATTTTTTATTCCTCATATTGTTTATATTTTCCTTAAGAATCTTACAAATTTCTTACGCATTTAGACCACGGTTTTATATGCCACATGCAAATATCTCAAGATTATATGATAGGAACTGTATGATTATTAAGATTGCTGAATTTGTTTTGTCACATTCTACAAAGATATCGAAAAATGAGGTTCTATTTCTAAAAATGACCATGAAATGATCAAATACTGTAACTTTGTCCTGAAAACATTTTTCGTGCAACAATAAATAAGGCAAAAATTTAGATGATCTCACTTAACTGAGCCACTTTATATAAATTCTATATAGTTACAAAAATGACCAAGATTTAATACATTATATTATGATTTTTTAAATTATAAACTTAGTATCTCTTAGTATGTCTAGTATAGAGTGAACTAAGTAGAATCTTAAAATTTGAAAAAAAGGAATTGATGCTCTTAAAAAAATTAAAAGCTAATTAATATTTTTATTTACAGTGAAAAAATCAAACATTAATTTATTTACAAGAACAGTACATTGTTTCTAAATAAAAAAAATATTTTTCTAACTATTGGAATCTATCTGATTATTTTCATTTTTGTCATTCATTTCTTTCTGTTTCATCCAAGCTTTAGCAGATGCCAAGAATTTAAGATTAGGTCTCTGTGATTCATCTTCTGGGAAAACAAAATCAAATACTTCTTCCCAACCATCATCACTCTAAAAACAAAAATTACATATGTGAACAAATGTTTTTTTAAAAATAACTTTTAAGTAATACAATAAATTTATTCACCCCATCTTCTCCAACAATACGTCTTCTACGTTTAATCCTTCGGGGCATTTTTTCCATAATTTTAGCTCGAGTGTCATCATCTCCTTTCTCACTTTCAAAATCTCTCCATGCTTCTAAAAGCAATGCTCTACTTTCTTTATCACCGTTCGATCTAAGTGCATCGTTTCCACGTTCAAAAATTCTTCTTGCCAGCACAACATTATCCAGACCATCCTCAGTTGTCGAATTAGCTAATTCAAACTTAGCATAGGCAATCCAAACCTAGATGTCATGATTTATATTTAATAACACATAATCTAAATTAAATATCTTGTATTTAATTATAATCAATCTTACTTTAACATGAAGTGTACGTTCCAATAATCTTTCGAATAATTGCCTTGCGTTTTCTGTTTCATCTTGTGATATTTCAAAATCAATATATGATTTCCATAAGAGTTCTGGCATATCCAATCTATAAATTAAAGTAATGATACAATATCAGATTACGGTAATATAAATTACTTATACTTTTAAATACTTTACCTTGGCTGCGATATAGCTAATTCGTAAATAGCTCGTGCTCGTTCTACATCGCCCAAAAGCGTTTCTAACTCTGCGAACTATGTACAAAAATATTACCAAGAATGATTTTTATACACATTTAACCATTGAAATAATAATAAATAATAAACTGATGAATAATAAAAATAAATAAAAATAATAAAATAATAAATTATACCTTCATCCATGTAGTACAATTTTCTGGTCCAAATTCGAGGAATTTTTCATATAAAATTCTACATCTATCAAATTCTCTCAATTGTATTTCTAAATCAATGTATCCACGATATAATTTATCTCTAGGACAAATACCCAATGCCATACCCTATAATCAATTAAAATAATTTTCAATGCGGTGTCACAACTTATAAATTTTTGTAAAATTATTACTTACTAATTTTTTTCTAGCTGCTGTGAGATTTTTCTGTCTTATTTCAAAATACGCATAAAATAACCAGATTTTAGAGAAAGTGAAATGTTTGTGAGGAATTAATTCTAAGCAAGCTCTGAAAACACATAAACACATTAATCAAAATAAAACATCTTCTATGGTAATTTTTAAGGTACTAATTACTTATAGACTTGTCTGCATCTTTCTATATCTTCAGTATCAAGTTCCTCAAAAAGAGCATAATTTATCCAAAGATAAATATATCTTCTCCAAAATAGCTTTTCCTATGAAAAACGATATCCTTATACTAACATTTATTTACGATATATGTACAAAATGCTAAATATATTTAATACATCTCTCTTACTTTAGTTGGTGGTACATTGGCTATCGCACGTTCGTAAGTTTCCCTAATGACATCCACATTCCCTTCTGATTCTACTAATCTCAAGTAATCGAACCAGGCATCATAATTAGAAGGATTTTCTTTCACTTCTTGCTCGTATTGATATTTTCGTTTACTTACTATTACATCTTCAATACCTATAAATAATAATACAACATGATTGTATGCATAAATATATATTTATAAAATATTATTCAGTATGATAAATCAAAAATAAATTATAATACCTGAACGATCTCCATATTTTTTCTCATGTATTGTGTATGCTTTATAAATTTCCTGTGTTTTCTCTTTTGGAATATGATCTAATGCATACTTATAAATTACTCTGGCTCGATCATGCTACAACAAAATAATATAACATGCGTTAAATTAAACTGTGCGAAAAAAATAATTTTGGTCCTTCCTTACTTCTCTTTGTCCTTCCTCAAACTTTGCAAATGCAATAAATAGCCTTTCATCCAAATTTTCGTCGCCATAAAAATCAATGGCGCGTTCATAAACATTGCGAGCACCATTAATAAAACCATGAGATTCTTCAAATCGTGCATATTTTATCCAGTGCTTAACATCAGGATGTACCATTACAAAACGTTCATAAATTTGTCTAGCTCTCTGAATTTCCTTATATCTCAATTCAAATTTGATGTATGTTTGCCATGCCTGTTCATCAGGTTCCCATTCCATCCATCTTTCAAATACCTGACGTGCTCCTAAATAAATATTTCAATCAATAAATAGTCAATATACTATGTTAGATTAAAATTAAAAGAAGGATTTACCAGCAATATTTTCTAACATTTCTTCCATATAAGTGTATTTATACCAAAATTGATTTGCTCTAGGTAATATAGTAACAGCACGGTCCCATAAATTTCTGGCATGATTTACTTGACGATTTCGCATTTCCATTTCTGTGTATTTGAGCCATAATGTAATGTTTCTATGGTCAACATCTAAAGCACGTTCATATATGGATCTAAAATTCATAAATAATACAATTAATACTTTTATAATTAATACAAAATAATAATAATGTTGTTTATTTTTTACAAAAAAAAACATTAATCATAAATATATAATCATGATGACTTTAATATATTTCATACCTTGCTCGTTGTATCTGCTTTTGACTTTCTTCCCATTGAGCATATTTTATCCAATTTGAAATCACCATACGATTTTTACGAATATTATCTTCAAAAGCTTTACGTTTCCGATGTTGATAATCAGCTAACTCATGAGGATCAGAAATCTTTTGTTTTGGTGGCTGAAGTAATAGAAATATATATAAATATTCATTATATATCAACTTTTCAGCTGTTCAGCTTCACATATATTAAAATTTATATACGGATAAAAATTACATAAAATTAATAAAAATAATGAATGATCAAAATTGAATAAATAAATGCAAATATACTTACTGGTGGTAAGATTTCTAGGTCCCGTTCTTTTGCCTCCCGCAAAAGTTGCTCTGCTGTTATTTGAATTTCAGCAGGTGCTTTATTTTTAACCTAGAATAAAATATAGTTAAAATAATTTGATATAATATAAAAATTATTTCATTCTCATATATTACATTATATGATTTATATGTGTACTAAATATTTAAAAGTGTTACATACCTTTGCCACTTTTGGCATTTTCTGTGATTTTTCCATGATATTAAATTTAGTCCAATTCTTTCTACACAATAAATATTTTAGAAATATTTTTATCCTCCTGGTTAATTCAATTTTTATAATATATTTATGACAAAGAACAATGTATATTTTTTAAACTAACCATGATCTAAGAATAGCAGGTCCAAATACTATTTCATGGGAATTTTTATACAATACATCGATAATATTTATAATTATTATTGATATTTACAATTATTTTTAATTATTAAAACGTACTTTAGTAAACAAATATCAAATGGAAGGGCTAGGTATAACCAGCTATAACCAATATATAACCATCGATTAAGACAAGATAAAAGAGAATAGATGTGACACTAAACGGGATTTTGTGTCTCAGGTTCTGAAATACCGACCTACAAAAATATCATGTAGCGGTACATAATGATAAGAGTTCGCGACTGTGCGTGGTTTATTTTACCAGCTTAGTATTGGAGAAGTCACTGTACGTGGTTGCAGCTTCGGCCTGTTTAGTAGTTTAATTCAATCACAGATATATTTCTATAGATTTCCTCTTTGATATAAAATAGATAGAACATGCAATACTTTTTCGTACTTTTAGTTATTGGTACATATTACAATATTATATGCACGATCATGTATACATATACTCAGATTACATACAGATCCAGCAACGGTGAAGAATGTTATTATTTTAATTTGATTTGTTTTGATGTATTTTAGTTCTCTTATAAGCTACATATTACTACCATGGTACTACCACAAAATTCTTTCAGGTCAATACGCGGTCTTTTTTGACAGATCTTCACTGATTCGAAAATGTAGAATTATCTTCCAAAGCTACTACGAATAATTTTTTGATACTCTGTACATGTACGTACTACAAAAGTATTAAAAGTATATTTGATTTAAATTGCACTCTTTTACAGGAAATATTTTGAGATTTAAGAATTTCGTTGATGCTTTAAGCATTGACTAAGGAGAGGATAGACGTGGCATTAAATAGAAATTTGTTTCAGTTTCTCTAATGTCGACGAGGAAAAAAATCAGAGTACATATTTCTTACGCCCTCTGTTATTTAATACGGTGAACGTAGGACTTATGATCAACTTAATCATCAAATGCGATGAAGAGATAAGCCTCGATTACATGCAATTCTATACACAATAAATAATATCGGCCGGTACTGATAAACTTCAACTTGGTTTATATGTCTCGCATCGTACATCACCCAGAATATAATGAATCGAGGTTAACGAAAAGAAACGAATAAAATCTAGTTCACTTATGTGAATTATTTCAAAGCTATATTCAATTCGACGGGCAGAAACGGGATAACATGAGCGGAAATGGGATAAAAAGTGTAAGGAAATGCGAAGTTCGAATACCTGGTTCGACCGCCTGTTTTTCGTTACCTTCGGATATGAGAAAAAGAAAGCGTCAATATTAAAGGTGCCGTAAATTAATCCCTCATCCGCATGGTGTGTGGACCAGCGGTCCCAACGTCTTGCGATTGTGATTGCCTGGGTTCCGTCATGCTGGGTTCTAGTGAGAGATAGCGAAATCACTTAAGGATGTTGAAAGGGACCCTCTCCCTCGCTAGCGCACAGGCTGACGAGCTTTGACCTTCTTCGCGGCTGTGACGCCGAGGGTACCCAAGCATTCTTTGCACAATCGTCACAGTGAACAAACGTAAAATTAAAATCATGCGAGTTCGTCATTTTTCGAGTTTGCAGAACATGCTACAAACAGGATTATCGTGAATTCGCTTTTAATGCTTCTTATAAACAGATGAAAACATGAACAAATGGGAGAAAACGGGAGGACGCTGGTGAAAATGGGCAGAAACGGGAGAAATCTCGCGAAAACAAGAGGAAACCGACAGAGACGCTAACCCGTCTATACAATGGATCCCCAGTCAACACTTGTTAAAATTTTTTATGTACATATTATATACATTCACACATGCTATATGTATATTTGCTTTTCAAATTAAAGTAAATGTAGGAACTGTTTTCACTGAAGGAATATCATTTAAATGTTTAAATAACGGATAAATGCAAATTATTTAAATTCACCAATAAAGGTTCAATTAAAAACATAAAGTATGATACAAATTTTTTTTGTTTTAGATATGTTTTTTCTAAATGTGTATTTTATACATATATTTAATATAAAAAAAGAAAATCTCTACTGGAATTCGAACCAACTTTTTTCAGATGGGTAAAATAAATCTGTGCGCTTATCTCCTAAAATTGTTACATTTGTTGGCAAACATAAGTATTAATATATCTATTTGTTATATTTATTAATTTTATTAGATAATTATAACAAATTTTACCTTATATAGTGTTTCTCGTTACAAAGCATATACGATACTGTTACGCTGTTACGTGAACGTAGTCTTAATGATCTTAGTCTAGAAAAGTCGATATATACATTTGGCACGTAATTTGAATCGTCAATCAAGTATGTTTTGAAAGATAGCATGTATTTGAAGACTGTCTGATGGTTCGGCACGTAGTACAGCGATAGGAAAGTTAGAACTCGGGAATAGAAATGCTTTGTTTAGCAAAATTGAAGGCCTCCTCAACAGGTTGCTTCTTCCGAATTTATAAATATATACCTATTTTTCTTTACGTCATAATTTTCAATTTAAAATTTGTTTACTATCGCTTTCTATAAATTGATCGCTATTACTTACTTTTCTGAACTGAACGTGTTTCTAGGATAAACTACACTTTAGGGGCCGTGAAATTATTGATATTTCTATTTGCAATCTTATTTTAACGTGTTTTGACAAAATCAAGTTTTAAAGCGCGGGATGCACTAATTCAAAAGTTATGCGTATATAAAATCGAACATTTTTAACATATTTTACAGGTTATTTTGATGTCACGCAGGCTTCTAACCATGCATGATTAGTCGACACAAATGAGCATGCAAATGTTCACCTCTTCCGCTTCCCTTATTCAAAGATATACTGCTTGCGTATTGCCTCTATCAAAGATCGCATGCCACCAATTTGATACACTTTGCAATATGGCTGCCACAGAAATTCGCATAGGCGGTCGGAAGAGTGTCACTATCGTGAAAGTGGTCTTTTCCTCGCATTCAACCCTTTGGTCTCCAATTAAATTGTATCTTCTGACTATGGATCCCATCACTAGCTGTAATTAGACGAATGAAAAGTAATTCAAATCTAATTCAAATTTCATTGTAGCTTCCACACTGTAATTCACTGTTTTATGAATGAATCATTCTGCAACGAGACCCGCGTAACTTCGAAAACAGTCTGTGTGGATCTTGCTGCTGGCGGCAACATGTTTCTGTATACGGAAATTAACATCGTCGTTTCGTTATTCTCAACCATCACCATTCTACAATTGATATTTCTGATATCATCTAACATTCAGTGTTCTTCCACCCTTCTGCGGTCATTATATTTCCGCTTTCCAAATTTTACTGCATCATTCTGTTAAATAATATAAAAATAATAATAATAATATTAAAATGGAAAAATAAGTAATATAAGAATATAAGGATATAAGGAACATGCACAACGCCCGAACATCCACATTTGGATATCTCTCACAATTTTGGTTACCCGGCTTGCATTTTCTTTTTTTTTTTTATTAACATGGAAGAAATCCGCACGGACACCAGGCCACTTCTGGGGAAAAGTGGCGTGGTAGAGCCGGACTGCAACCGATTAAAACCTCCACGATGACCGTCCCGGCTGCGATCGAGAGGGGTCCGGGAACCGGTGTAAGCGACACACTCCTCTCCCCCCCCCCGCGCACAATACATCACCAAATG